AACTCAGATGATTGTCAAGAAAGTATTTGATGAATTAAAACATGCTCATCACTTTAGTCCCTGCATTCTGAGAATTGTTTAAAATTTAATGGCGACTTCTCACATTCCATTCCCTCCCCAACCCCTGGGTATAAGGAGCTTTGTTAATGGTGTCGCTCACTGGCTACTTCAACAGCCAAGTCCTCTTGAAGTTCCCCAGCTGGAAAGACTCTCAGGGCTGCAAGGAGCCTTGCCTGCTGCTCTTGAACAATTTAGCTATCAGTGGAGACTGGGAAACACAAGAAGCGGTGCATAAGAGGAAATAGCAAAGTTAGCAGAAGCAGCAAGAAAAATCACAGGGAGGCCATGGTTCATTGGAAAGTGTGAATCATTCATCTCATGAGCTTTTTCTCAAAGGGAAGTGCTTCAATTTCCTCAAGGTTTAATTACAGCAAATCCTAGACCTGAGGAATGTTTGATCCAAGAAGTTGAGTCAGTATATTACCACCAGGGCATCTAGAAAATTAGCAAGTCAAAGAGGAAATTCTGCATCTTTGGGGTCCTATTAGGCATCTGTTACCTGCTTTATAGGAATTCCCAGGTGGTACTCTGGAGCCAGCTCATTGGAAAAGACCCTGATACTGAGAAAGATTGAGGGCAGGAGGAGAAGGGGGTGACAGAGGATGAGATGGTTGGATGTCATCACAGACTCAATGGACATGAGTTTCAGCAAGCCCCAGGAGATGGTGAAGGACAGGGAAGCCTGGCGTGCTGCAGTCCATGGGGTTGCTAGGATTTGGACACGACTTAGTGCAGTCACAACACACAACACAACTTAGTGCAGAACAAAAATGACAGGTAGTTCAGTGGTAAAGAATCTGCCTGCCAATGGAGGAGATGCAGGAGACACAAGTTTGATCGCTGGGTTAGCACATGGACAACGTCTTTGACTCCATGATCTGCATCTCCCTGGTGGTTCCCATCTGTAACCTCCTGGCCATTGCAGTCGACAGGTACGTCACCATCTTCTACATTTTTTGCTGCCACAGCATCATGACCATGTGGAAGGTGCTGGTCTTGATTGCGGCCATCTGGCTGGGCTGCAGGGTCTGCAGTGTGATGTTCATCGTCTACTCTGAGAGCAAGATGGTCATCGTGTGCCTGGTCAGCATGTTCCTTGCCACGCTGCTGCTCTTGGGCACCCTGTACGTGCACATGCTCCTCTTCGGCCTGCTTCACATCGAGCGCATCGCTGCACTGCTGCCTGCCGATGGGGTGGCCCATTGGCCAGCAGCACTTGTGTGTGAAGGGGGCAGTCACCATCACCAGCCTGCTGGGGGTCTCCATCTTCTTCTGGGCCCCCTTCTATCTCCACCCTGTCCTCATCATAACCTGCCCCACCAACCCCACTGTGTCTGCTACACCACCCACTTCAACACCCACCTGATATTCATCATGTGCACCTCCATCATCAACCTGCTGATCTATGCTTTCCGGAGCCTGGAGCTGTGCAATACCTTCAAGGGGATCCTCTGTAGCTGAAGGTGGGGCCATGGGAAGGGTACTCAGTCTGGTCACCTTCGACCTTCCAGCCAGCCCAGGGGTTTAGCAGGAAGGGAGAAAACTACTTAAAATACGTAAAAAATGTGTTATTAGCCATGATCCTACGTGTCTTTTGTTTTTAAGCTTGCAGGGAGCCTTTTGAAAGGGAAAAATGGATATAATAGGCTTTCTGAAAGGATGCCCATGTGCTGTGCGATTGTGTTAAGTCGTTTCAGTCATGTCCGACTCTTTTGTGACCCTGTGAACTATAGCCCATGTGGCTTGTCTGTCCATGGGATTTTCCAGGCAAGAATACTGGAGTGGGTTGCCATTTCCTCCTCCAGGGGTCTTCCTGACCTAGGGATCGAACCCATCTCCTGTGTCTCCTGCATTACAGGCAGATTCTTTACCGGCTTAGCCATGGGTAAGTCACAAACTCCGATTTCTCGAATAATCACTGGTGGGGAAGGACCTGTAGGGGCTGCTCGGGTGCTGTCTGAATTCATTTTCATGCATCCAGGGTCTGTGATGCTTCCCACTCACTCCTTCATGTTTCAGGTCAGACAGACTGAAGGATTTGCAGTAACAGTAAGGGTGGCTGAAATCTCCCTCAAGCAAATCTGTTACAGCTACCAACACCTAGCTGCCAGCTGCTCAAATAGCTTTGCCCTCATCTCATAAGAGACTGAGTTTCTCATCTATTATTCTATTTACAGTAAAACAACTTCCTAAAAACAGCAACCTCTTTGTGGGAGAAGTAATACTATGCTGTTTGCCCCTCTTCTTAACTCCACCCCCCCCCCCACCAAAATTGCGTGGGAATGGAACCCACTTCTATTTTTGTGTTATTGATATTGTTTTTGTTGTTGTTGGGTTTGTAAGCATTCAACACAGGGCAGCTTACAAGACTCTAATGAAAGAGAAGTAAAGTGCTTTGGAGAACCAGAACATACCTATATACAAAGTATTTTGATATCTTGCTATTTTACAGCATCCATTTCCTTATTTCAAAAAGGCAATTTTTCTTATGATTCCTTTTCTGTCTTTAAAACAAGAGAGGGAATCGTGGGTGGGAGGACATGTGTTTTAGGAAACCGCTGGATTGTAGTTTCAGGGAGTTAGACTCTGAGCTGCCTATGGTTTTCTTGGAAGCTGTTTTGTTCATAAGAACTGAGTCTCTATCACAGGTTTTCTATTTGCTGTGATCTATGAAGGAGGATGGTTTCTAATTCACAGTTCCTTTTGTTCGACACGGTGTTACTGTTGGGTGACCCTGTTATCAAGGTCTATACCGTATCAAGTAAAGTGATTCACTCCTGTGAACTCAGGGCAAGCTTTGCTGATGAACGCTGTCCAAAGCTGTGTGCTGCATGCATCCATCGGACCCACTTCCACCCCAGGGGACTTTGGACTGTGCTTTCTGGATGTCCCCACGTCCCGCTCTCCCGTGAATTCTCACATTGTGCTGTGTCTTCGGTATATAACTGTGTTCTTCTTGTGCTGTGATGTTTTGGGGTTTTTGTATTTTATCTGTGCTAATGTGAACAATATGATTTGTTTCTCACTTTGGTTGTGATGTTTGAAAATTATTAAAGGCTTTTGTGGCTGATAAACATGTGTCACATTGAATTATACCACCTGGAAGCATCCTACTGGCTTCTGCTTGTGGCCATCGTTCATGACATTGCAATTCCATGACTATTTTGTCAATGGTATAAACATCCCCTTGACCACACTGCTGGTCTTTTCTAGGGTAATGCTATTTTGCCAAACTACAAAACTCTCCCATTTAGTTTCCAAACATACCAGGCTGAAATTCCTGGGCCACTGTCACTCTGCATTATTGTAATCAAGACACCAAATAATAGGTCTTTGCCACTCGTCAAATTAACATGGAAGATGGGGAATTGAATTCTTTGAAAATGGTATGGATAGCCATAGGGATTATGATGTCTTTTTTCTATGTAAACAAGATAAAATAACATACTTTTCACTCTTTTATATTACTTTTCACATTAAAGTCTCCAACATAGGTGAGTCACCTCACAGATGAAAAAACTTCATTCCAGAGGGGTTATGTGACTGCCCCAAAATGCCAGCTAAGTCAGGGTCACTGTATATTTTGTGCCCTGGAGCTGATGTCTTTTTGCACCAACATGATGCTGCCAACAGGTTTCCATATCAAAACAGACCCAGCTGCCCTTTCTACATACCTTTTAACTGAGAGCAGTGCTTCTGAACAGAAATGCCTGCTGGAATCACCCTGGATCTTGTTCAAGTGCTAAAGCTAATTCAACAGGTTGGGAGTGGAGCCTAACATTCTGAATTTCTTTTTTTTATCCTTTATTTTTAATTGGAGTATAATTGCTGTATGATGTTGTGTTAGTTTCTGCTGCACAACCATGTGAGTCCGCTATAAGTATATTTACATCCTCCCTCTTGAGCCTCCCTCCCACCCCCTACCATCCCGCGCCTCCAGGTCATCACAGCACCAAACTGAGCCCCTTGAGCTACACAGCAGCTTCCCACTAGCTATTGTCCATATGGTAGTGTACATATGCTAATGTTCTTCTCTCAGATTCTGAATTCTGACTCTGACAAGCTCCCATAGGATATGGCTACTGGCCTGGGGACCTCCTTTTAAATAGCAGGGACACAGAGCACTTATACATGAGCACAGTGCACAGCCAAAAATACACATCTGCATGCAGAGCTGACCCCATGCCAGGAACTGGGCTAAGTTCTTTACAGGCACTCACTTCTTTGATCTCTGCATAACCTCTTGAGGCAAATACTAGGCTCATCCTTATTTTACAGATGAGGCATCTGAAACTCAGGAGTCTACCGAAACTCAGCTACAAGTGGAGAAGTGGAGATTCAAACTCGGGGTGCCCACCAACACCCCCAAGTCCAACCTGGACACCCTAGCACCTCTCCTGAAAACAGCATCATTGAACCGTGGCCCAGTGACCCCAGAGGGTCATTGCTGCCATGGAGGGAGGCTTTAAGGACTATTTCTACAACCAGGAGTTGATATGTTCATAACAGAGCTTCCATCAAGCTGTCATAAAAACCAAGAAGACAATTCATCGTTTTACTTGCTATCCTCTTCCAGAGTCTGTGGGTAGCCCTGGGAGTGCAACCTTTTCTGGAGTAGATGACCCTGGACGTCATGCTGCCACTGTCTCCCCCATGACCACTTTCCCAGACCGTCATGGAAACCCACTGTGCATTTTAAGCAGGGGGACAGTCAGGTTCAAAAAATGCTTACTTTTTGGAAATAAAAGTACACTGTGATCTTCATTCATTTGTTGGGCTCACTTTCATCCTCTATCTCCAAGGCAGAATCACAGCAGGTGTTGACTTATGGCACCCCTAGAAACCATCACCTGTGGTCCTTATTTAAGTTGAACTTTTGAGCTTAATTGTGGTGACTTTCTATGAGTTTCTATAGGGTTTGGGGTCCCAAAGAGTCTGACATGACTTAGCAACTAAACAACAATAACAACATCCCAGAAAAATATAAATCCAGGAACTGGAAAGAAACAGTTGACAAAATGAAGAAAACAAGCAAACCCTTCAAATGAAGAACTCAACCTTTCTCACATAAGAACACTTAAGTGAGAGTCAAATAAGTAAGTGACAATAATAATAAAATGCATTACCTGATATTATTATGTGCCAGACATTGGACTAAGCACTTAGGTATATTAACTCACTGAATTCTCATGAAAACCTTATGAGGTAATAAGCACTATTAAAATCTTGTCCTGTAGAAAAAGAAACTTATTAATAGGATCATGGAGGAGGTTAATCATCCAGACTCGAGCTACTCAGAATTCGAGGAGCAGAGCTGGGACTCAGCCCACAGTCAGGCTCCTTGGTCCATGGGTTGCCCAGGTACCCATTGTGTGATGAAGCATGTGGCCTGTGGCGACCCTCTTCAGGTTTGAAGGGACTCCAGCAGCTCTCAGACCCAATAGGGAACTTTGTGTCCTTTCTAATGAAAGTATTAATAATGAATATACAGAAAAATCCTTACATATTCTCCTTTTTGCCTTCTTTTCATCAGGTGACACAGAAAGCCTCTTTAGCCTCAGAGCCAGCAGTTGAGTGGAAGTGGGAAGCAGCTAATGATGTGAGTTGCTCAAGCCAAAGAAATGCATTTCCTGTGAAATACCTGGATAATTGGCTCATTTCCCTGAATGTTATATAAAGCACAGGTCTGACCCAAAAAACAGATACTGAGAAACAAAGAAGAAAGGAAGATTCTTTCTTGGTTTCTAATTGCAGGAAGGAAAGAATCCTTCCCTGTGTGTGTTCCGTTCATGTGGTGACATGTGCTGGATTTTAAAGGGTTGGCACTTTCATGCATCATCAGAGAAAACAGAAGAGCAATGTCACTGATGGTCGTTAGGATGGATGCCACAAGAAGTGCTTCGAAGAACTCTCTTTATCAGGAAATAAAACGGTTTTCCCCTCTCTGAAAACACTGGGGGTGTCAACAGAGGAAACTGAACTGGAATTCAGGAGTGCCTGGGACCCAGCGTGTCTCTAGACTGGTGTGGCCGTGAGCAAGTCTGTCACTGTCTCTGGGCTTCAGTCAGGCATCTCTGCAGCTGACAGAACTGGATGCGATGGAGGTTTTCAGCTTTGCCCCTGTCCATGGCGGTCCCAGGTGACTGCTGCCGCAGGACTGCGAATCAGGTGACTCAGACCCCACTCACCATCAGCCACAGGGAGGTGCCTGGTCCACGAGTCCACCACAGCTGGGGAACAGCAGCCCCATGTGGCCCAAGGCAGCCCGGGGAGACTCTCAGAACTCGAACTACTGAGAAAGAGCGGTCCCCCTTCCCATGGACCACTGGGTACCAAGTTGCATGGGACTGCAGGAGTGGTATCTGAGGATGAAGCCACCATCAAAGAAAGCAGGAGGCAGACGAAAGGGACAGGATGCCAGCTGTTCTCATTTGCGCACCTGCCTCCAGCTATGCCTAAAGTTAGTCCTGTGCCTGGACTTTCTGTTAGGAGCTCCTGTCATTTGTAAACAGTATCATCGTGACAAATACAGAGGCCCTTGGGGGTGGGGTGGAACAAGATGGGGAGGCAGGTGGGGAAAGGGGAGAAGAGAGGGGCAGAGACTGAGAAGAGAGAAGGGCTGCAAGCTCAGGGAGACATTCTCCTGTGATCTGACTTACATATTGGGTTTACATATAAGATGCGATGTTCAAAAAGAATTAGCTAGAAGTGAAAACAAAAACTACTAGAAGAGAAGATTCAAGGGAACTTGTGGTTTGCCTTCCTGTTTTACTGAAGATAAGGCAAGCAGAATTGCCCAGAAATGTTTCTAATTAGGGTATGAAAAGAAGCAGAAATCTAGACAATGAAATCAACAGTTCCAGTGCTGTGTGTTGCTCACCCCCTCCTTGACCCCTTGATCTTTAGATGAACCCAGATTGAGCACTTTTGGTCTGATTCCATAACTAGAGAATGCAAGGATGCTAACACAATCTGGGTTTTCTGGGCAGCCTCTTCTAGAGGGAAAGATGTGCCTTTGTCAGCGGGTGATGGGCAGCTAGATGCAGGTCATGCAGCACAACCCACAATAAATAAATAAAATTAATTTTTAAAAGGATGTTAGGCTTCAAGTATCCCACTCAGCACATAAAATATTTACTCGCTTCAAAGTCTACCTTTTCTTCTTCACATCTTGCTCCCTCAGTCTCTTCTGTCATCACAAGTATCTGTCCCGTGTTTAATGTAGACCAGGTACTGTATGCCAGGGGCAGGGGAGGCCACGTCCTCAGAAAGGCTGGGGAGCAGAAGAGACTGCCCTGGATAAGCAAGGTCTGGATCTCCTTTCAAAGTGGGAGACTGCAGGGAAAGAAACAGATAGCCCTGGGCAGGTTGATCTTTTCAGTGTGTGTCTCCTTGACCTAATCATCTCTCCATCCTGAGCCTTAGTTTTCTCATCTGTGTCACAGGAATGGATCTTGTTCTTATCAGCTTTCTTGAGGGGGTAAGGAACAAGAGTTCCAAGTAGATTTTAAATTGCTCGGACTTCCATCCCAACCTCAGATCAACTCCCCAGCAGAGGAGGAGAGAAGGAAGCAAAGATCCAGGGAAAAGACAAACAAACCTCTCCCTGTGTTCAAAGACTCAGCCAGAAACACTTGAACAGGTAAGAATCTTCTTCACCTCTCTTAGGAACAAGAGACAGCTTGTTACTCTCGTGTTTTTAAATCTAATTCTGATGACCTCAGTGTATTCCAAGCAAGAGGAGAGTCAAGACTTTTTGTTTTTGTGACCACAAGCCGCTCTCTCTCTGTGTTTTTTTTAAAAAGAGGGGGTAGTTTTTTTTTATTTTTGTTCTTCTATCTGTGGGGTGTGGAGGTGTGCTCTGAGATCTCTGTGTCTTGTGTGTTTTTTCTTTTCTTTTGCTTTTTTTTTGGAGCTTTTTTTTTTTTTTTCTTCCGCAGTGTGGACCCAATAGCACCAGACTTCTATCAAATCACTGACTCCAGTAGAAAACCAACTTCTCTGTCCCAGTCCTCTCCCTATCCATGCCCCACCACCCAAAAGAGAAAAACTTCAGACCAGTTAAATTAAATCATAGGCCCACCCCTATCTCTGAGTTAATCACTGTGGCAACTGCATGTGTTCAGGCTTGGATGAAACTCCCACCTGGGAGCTGGGACAGGGCCATCAGCTGTGTAGGGGGTGAGATTGTGGGAGGAGGTCCCACACCAGACACCTGAGTGCTGTTTCCAAAATTAAGCACTGTCCACTCCCCACTCACCCTCCATCCCTGTCCCCAGTACTTTTGTAGGCTTGATTGGCAGAATCCACTCATTCTTGCCAGTTTCCTGGAATCTTGTCCTTCCCTTAAGATACACTTGACAGGGATTTTCCTGGTGGTCCAGTGGCTGGGGTTCCACGCTCCCATTGTAGGAATCTTGGGTTCAAAGCCTGGTCAAGGAACTGGATCCCACATGTTGCAGCTAAGAGTCCCCATGCTGCAAATAAAGATCCTGCATGCCACTACTATGACCTAGCAACAGCTAAATAAATGTTTTAAATATATATATATACTTGATAATTTCTAGGTAACTCAATACATTTCTGGGCTTCCCAGGTGCATACATGCCTGCCTGCTTAGTCACTCAGTCATGTCCAACTCTCTGTGACCCCATAGCCTGTAGCCCACTAGGCTCCTCTGTCTGTGGGATTCTCCAGGCAAGAATACAGGAGTCAGTTGCCATTGCCAGGTGGCTCAGTGGTAAAGAATCCACTTGCAATGTAGGAGACACAGGTTCAATCCCTGGGTCAGGAAGGTCCCCTAGAGAAGGAAATGGCCCTTCTCCAGTATTCCTGCTTGGGAGATCCCATGGGCAGAGGAACCTGGTGGGCTATAGTCTATGGGGTCACAAAAGAGTCTGACATGACTTAGTGACTAAACAACAACAACACATTTTCAGGTGACTCTTAGCACATTCATTCTAAACTTCTCAAATATCCTTAAAAGACCCTATGCAAAAACACAAATATACATGCCAGAAAAGAGACTTCATTTTGTATCAGGCCAACCTACAGTCTGCTTTTTCTAGTCCTTTGCTTCTAACATTCAGGGCTTATATAAGCTAATTTGCTGAATTGCTTGTCTCTCATCCCTAGTCTTGTCCTTGGTTTCACAATACCAAGAGGGGGCAGCTTTGAATTTTCTGGTCCATGGACCTCCTAAGAACTAGCGGAGTGCATGAGTATTATGAATCAGACAGAAATATATGTAAACAGAATCTTAACACTTAAAACAGTAGTATGAACTGACACATGAAGCAGAACAAGCCAATTCAGGGCTGAGGGACAACCCAGAGGGATAGGGTAGGGAGGGAAGTGAGAGGGGGGCTCATGATGGGGGGGACTCATATTTATCTGTGGCCAATTCATGCTGATATATTGCAAAAACTGTCACAATATTGTAAATAATTATTCTACAATTAAAATAATTTTTAAAAAAATCAAAGAATCATGACCTAAATATCACTTTCATTTTGAAACTTCTCTGTACAGATTATTATTATTAAAAATAAATATTATTCATGCAAATATTCTAGCAGCATTGTTTGGTGTAGCCCAAACATGGAAAAGAAACAGTTAGAACCCTGTATGGAACAACTGATTGCTTCAAGATTGAGAAAGGAGTATAACAGGGCTGTCTGTTGTCACACTGTTTGTTTAATCTATATGCTGAGTACATCATGAGAAATGCTGGGCTGAATGAGTTACAAGCTGGAATCAAGATAGGCGGGAGAAATATCAACAACCTCAGATATGTGTATGATATCACTCTAATGGCAGAAAGTGAAGAGGAACTAAAGAGCCTCTTGATGAAGGTGAAGGAGGAGAGTGAAAGAGCTGGCTTAAAACTAAATATTAAAAAAAACTAATATTGTGTCATCCAGTCCCATTACTTCATGGCAAATAGAGGGGGAAAAGTAGAAGTAGTGACAGATTTCCTCTTCTTTGGCTCTAAAATCACTGCAGATAGTGACTGTAGTCATGAAATCAGAAGATACTTGCCTCTTGGAAGGAAAGCGATAACAAACCTAGACAGTCTGTTAAAAAGCAGTGACATTACTCTGCTACAAAGGTCTGCATAGTCAAGGCTATGGTCTTCCCAGTGGTCATGTATGGTTGTGAAAGCTGGACCATAAAGAAGGCAGAGTGCCAACGAATTGATGCCTTCAAACTGTGGTGCTTGGGAGTCCCTTGGAGAGCAAGGAGATCAAACCAGTCGATCTCTGGATTCAGTCAACCATGAATACTCTTTGGAAGGACTGATGCTGAACCTGAAACTCCAGTATTTTGATCATATGATTCAAACAGCTGATTCATTGGATACGTCCCTGATGCTGGGAGAGATGAAGGGCAGAAGGAGAAGAGGGCATCAGAGGATGAGGTGGCTGGATGGCATCACCGATGCAATGGACATGAACTTGGGCAAACTTTGGGAGATGGTGAGGGACAGAGAGGCCTGGCTTGCTGCAGTCCACAGGGGTCTGTAGGGTCACAAAGAGTTGGACATGACTGGGTGACTGAATAACAACAATAAAAAGTGGAAAAACCCAAATGTCCATCAACTGATAGAGGGATAAACAAAAATGTGGCACATTTGTACAATGAAATATTAGCCACAAAATGGGATGAACTACATTTATAACATGGACAACCTCAAAAATAGTATGTCTAGTGAAGAACCAGACACAAAAGATGAGATTTTCTATTACTCCATTAATACAAAAATATCTAGGAAAGGCAAATTCATAGAAACAGAAAGTAGATCCCTGGTTACCTGGAGCTGGAGTTAGGGATGAGGATTAACTGTAAAAGACAAAAGAGATCTAATTGGGGTGACAGAAATACCCTAACACTGGATTGTGGTGTTATTGGATGTGATGTAAGAAATCAATATTTGGTCTTTGTCCCTGGTTCCTGGGACATAACTCCTAAAATCCTTGGTGTCTCTGGGGTGATGAGTGGTCTAGATGGCTTCAGGAAGGAGGCTAGTAGCCAAATAACTCATGTTGGGGGCCCCTAGATGGCTTTAGGAAGGAGGCTAGTAAGCACGACTATAGGGTTGTGCTGACCTCCAGAGAGGACAGAGGAGCTAACAGTGAGTTAATCACCACTGGCTAATGATTTACTCAATCAGAACTACGTAATGGATGCTCCATAAAACCCCAAACATCAAGGCTCAGGGAGCTTCCAGACTGGTGAAAACACCAAGGTGTTGAGAGAGTGACATGCCCAGAGAGAGGATGGGAACTCAGCGCCCCTCCTGCATACCTTGCCCCTATGCCCACATGATTGCTCCTTTACCATAAACCAGTCATAGTACGTTCCTGCATTCTCTGAATCCCTCTAGTGAGTTATCACACCTGAGGAGGAGGATGTTGCAGGAATCCCCAATGTATAGCTCATTAGTGAGAAGTACAGGTGACAACCTGAGATTTGAGACTGGCGTCTAACATGAGGACTGTCTGTGGGACTGAGCCCTGGCATCTGTGGGGTCTGCGTAAACTCCTACGAAAATTGTTTTTTCAGATTCATGCATCCTTTATTCCATGACCAACTACTGTGTTGCATCCTGGCAACACTATACAAACTGGCAGTCAACCGCAACCCAGCTGTACAACAATCGGAGGCTTACAGTACATTTAAGGCTTTTAAATTTGGGGGGAAAAGTGGTTTTTTAATAAAACTGAAGAACTCTCAAACCCAAATCTGCAACCAACAGAAGTAGTGTAACAATATTAAGCATCTTACATTTCTGATGCTATTGGTGCAACCCCAGTGTCAAAACCCAAATAACTCC